GCTTCAACTAGAGTTAGTCAGCCTAGCCTGTTTTGACTTTTGAATTGCTAACAGCAGCATACATACAATGTGTGCTTGTTGAAGAGGCGGAAAAAACATCTTGTATCAATGTTCATAAAAAAATGCTCCTGGTGACACTATATTTCCATAAATATGTCCAAAAAGGTTTTATCCTCTTTGTAAGAATTAAATAAATCTGCACAATAGCTGCAGTAGGCTATCATCATAATATATATTTCCTTACAGAAAAAGTGAGGAGAATTTAAATTTCAATTTGACTTTGAATTGGGTATATCCAGGTGCTACCTCAACTATGATTTACCCCGGTCAGGGGAAAGATCTTAGTTTAAAAAGTCTGTTTGACAAATAAACCATACTTTTTGTTTAAAACCTATTTGCAAGCCAACACAGTTACAGGTGAATTAAACCATTTTAAATATCCTGAATGCTTGACAGATGTATCTTGGGCTGCATTTTCTGTGAGAGATTTGAAGTATTGCACAATGCTTTCAATACAATATGTTGTCCATACAGGCATATTTATTTAAAAAATGTTTGTGCTTCTACAAGCATGTGCTTCATGGCACCCCTGCAAGTTAGTGGTCCACCCCAGTCAAAGAAGTTTGGATACGCCACTGACTTTAAGTTAAAAATACTCTCTTTTTCACTCAAAATGAGTCGAATAGTTTCTACAGTGTACAAATTTAGTGACGGGGCCTTCAGGTACTGAGCAGCACATTATGATGCAGAACACATAAATAGGGAAGATTAATGTCACTGTCCTGGTCTGTTAGACAAACACTCTCATTTCTGGATATTCTCTCATCCTCCCACTGATCAATTACCAACACTGCTGAGATCCAGGGTACGTGCTGCTGCTGCATGCATCTGCCAGTGTAGTTACCAGCGTGAATCTGGAGGACATTTCTGATGGCTACATTAAAAACATCTCTTAATTTGGACTGTATGTTGTCATTAAGAGCTAAAATCCGCCTCAGTTTAGGGAGTAAATAGAACATCACAGGAATATAAAAAACAGATAGATTCAGCTGTTTCATGACTTATGTTCTAAATAAGAACCTCTTTGAGGGGCTTGTAATGACCATGTGGTCCACCAAATGTGGCCACAGAGATCAGACAGAGCTCAAAAAAACTTGTGTGCATGTGAGACAAATTGCCAAACAGACAGCAGGAGCAAGAGAGAGAGAGTGCATGATGAGAAAGCGAGAAGAGTGAGCAGAGGGAAAGTGTGCCTATTCATCTCCTTGCTCCGAGCAGGCAGGTACAGAGCTATGGCAGCCTTACAAGGTCAATATTTTACTTTGGCTTGTGTGCTCTAATTAAATTACAGGCAAAGTGCCCCAGGAGAGCACACAGAAAGATATAGACCCCCACGGTTCTGCAAGCCAAACAATTTGTAGCATGAGCTGAGATGTTGGAGTGTTTAGTCATTGCAACATGGCCAACTGGAAGCAATTTCAACATGTTTCAGGAGATCAGGAGTGAACTGAGGCACAGCAGAGCAGCCGGGTTGGAATTGGAGATAAGAGTTCTTTTAGAGTGAGAATCTCTTCCTGTCCAAACTGCAGTAGTAAAATGGTCCAGCAAGGTTTGCAGACTGTGAGGCAGCTTAATGTGGGCAGTACTTGTCATATGGGTGTCTGAGGCTTTTTTTGTGTGTGTCTGATCTGACCTTTGCCAACAAGTGTCACGTGCAACATACAGTAATAGCCTATGCATGTCAACGCGTGTTTGTCTTCTGTTCGAGCTTCAGACAAGAGCTGTTGATGAGCCTGACTGATGTAAAACCGTTTCCTCTGTTTATAGCAGGGCCTGAGGGACAGATGTGAAGCACTGACGACCTGTCAGCCTCATCGTCACTAATAAGAGGAGCAATGTCACAAACAGGCTCACTGTATAACAACTACAGTTTGCATTTTAACCTGATCTGTGAAATAGAAATCCAACAACAGTAGAATTTTTTATTTTATTTCTGCACAACAGGACAAATGCCTGCTGAAAAATAAAGTGAATTTTCTTTTTAAGAGGAAACTACACAAAACACCCAGAAGGGACAGGTTAGAATAAATCAGCTCCGCAATTGGCTGAGCGCACCAGGAAGTCCAGCCGCTGCCGCTGTCATCTGACTGTGACGCAGGCGCCTCAGCTTCCCGAAAGTCAAAAAAACAGCAACAGCGGAAAAGCGCAACATGGCTCCTAAACTTGAACTCCCAAGCGCTGCAGCGATCGTCTGGCTGATAGTCCTCTCTCTGATCCCCCCGGCGGAGGCTTACGATGCGGGCGACGCTCTAGCCCTGCTCCTTGGCACCATCCTGACCGTGGTGGGTTTCTGCGCCTTCCTCGGCTGGTACGCGCGGAGGCGGAACGGACATCTGTGAGAGAGAAAACTCTCTTGGATCGTGCGCGCCTGTCCCGTCATGTTATCATCCACCGCATTATTACCTCTTCGGTGATCTCACAAGGACCTTCGGGCACAAGGTTTGTGTCGAAGCGACTGATAAGAAACGTGCCTTATTGGAATAAATGCGTCAAGCGCAACGGGAACCACGTGGAGAAAGGTGGACGGGGGACAACCAGGAAGTCCAAAATACAGGAACTATTATTTGTTTCACTGCTGAGATTAAAAACCAAACACTGTTGCCTTCTCTATGAAATGACTGCTGCAGTTACCGTATATTCTTTGTTGGATGCTTGCGTTGCATATTGCGCATATTTTCCATGCTTGGATTAATCACTGTGATTTCCTGATGTGTCTATGTCTGCACAACACAACATTGCTATTGTCTAAAGCACAATATCTCAAGTGTGGTTACATGAAAAGACTGGAGCTGTTGTTGCGATGTCTGCTGTGAAAATGTATGAGGATGGTTTTGAGAATAATAAATTGGTTCATCTGATGCTCTTCGCAACTAATGGTTTGCATGACATTTAATCTGCTGTATAATCACATTTCCCCACTAAATCAAGACTAAAACTGGCTCTGCAGAAAATTCCCCCTTTAACGGTCTGACATTATTCGTTTCATAATACTGACTCATCAATGTGTAAGCAACATTATACTGTATTTAGGTAGTTTGGTCCACTGGTTCCCAACGTAAGGGCCCCTTCAAAGGGTCACAAGATAAGTCTTAGGAGTTGTGAGATGAATAATGGGGTTGGAAAAGATAAATAAATGTATCGTACACAAAGGTATATTCAAAAAAAAAGTTTATTATTTAGCTTCATGTGTGAAATATAAATATAATGTAAACAAAAAAATATAAATACAAACTTTGGGCCTCAAATTGTTATTTTGAAACCATCTGAGAAGTTAAGAGAGGAACTGTCGCTTTGGAAGAACTGAATAATAAATGCACGACAAGTAGACACTGCTTTTTGTAAAAGGTCAAAGTCCAAATGACTGGACTGGTTTGATCTCAATATATTGCTTATCATTTATGTTCTTTATTTAAAATCAGGTTCTAAAAAGTAACCTGTAAGTCTAGCTATCAGGTAAATGTAAAAACGTACAATATTTCCCACTGAAATGTAATTAAATGAAAATACTCAAGTACAGCACGTGAGTAAATATACTTAGTTACTTTCTACCACTGAAGCCAATATAATCAGCTTTATTGTTGTTGTTTTTTAAACCAAATTAGTTTAAAGAGGAACTCTCATTTGTTTTATATATAACTGTATTACCATGTATAACTGATTATTTAAAATACTCATTATTTAGCCTTGGGATGCTGATGCATCAAAGTGCTTACAAGGTCTGCACCAAAATGAGTAATTGTTCATTAGAGAATATTGGGACATGCATAAAATCATTAAGGCCATCACTTTAATCTGTCTGGAGGGCATTAATGGAGTTTCTTCTGGAGTAAAATGAATCATTCGATCTCTAGGTCACCATGTCTGTGATGTTTGGTAGGCTGACTGCTTGTTGGCTGTTGGCAGCATTAGTTTTTAATCATAAAACATAGAAATCTGCACACTTCACATTGCTCCCTGCTATGAAACAGTAGTTTCACATGTATGACCATAATTAATTCATGCTTTATAGCCCAGGTAGATACCAAGCACTACTGCTCATGACATTGCAGCTTTCCATATGTGGTTGAGAAATCAAATTCTATGAATTTATCATGCTGCTCGGGCAGAATGAACAACAGTGCGCAAAGTGCTTGTCAATTATGCATATATAGTACAGGGGAAGTCATTCTACCTTGAGGTGAATTGGGCTGCCTGATTTAACCCTTCACTTTGTAGCTACATAATGCTTGACATTTCAGTAGAGTGAAACATGTATGAGCACGATGAATGGCAGACGGAGAGCAATTGTAGGTGTACAATAAACAAATGCTATAGCTGAATACATCTGATAAGGACACCATTAGCAAACAAACGCTCCAGCGGGGGATAAAACAGCCTGCATTCAACCATATTTAACTTTTTTATGATTTAAATATTATTTGATTTAGGCCTATAATATTAATAAATATTTTTTGAACATGTCATTTTAAAGAAGTCAATCTGAAACAGTCAGGATAATTATAAATATGTATTTTTTCTGCTGTTTATCTAGGTGAGGAACAAGAAAAACAAAACAAAAAACCCAAACAAATAGTAATCCGTTACATTACACGTTACAAGAGGAAATAGTAAGTGCTGCTGTAACGCGTTACCGGCCAGCAGCGGCCCCGTTGAGCAGATGTTACCGTGAGAGAGAGAGAGAGAGAGAGAGAGAGAGAGAGAGAGAGAGAGAGAGAGAGAGAGAGCTGCTGCTGCTGCAACAAGAGACAAGACGCGTCTTGGATCACAAATAGGGATGCAGGGCGCATGCGCACTGAGCTCCGTTTACTGTAGGATATTCACCGTGGAGGAAAAAAGGGGGCAGGCAACAAATCAGGCTTTTTAAAAACGGCCAAAACCCGACTTGTGCAATGTAAATAACGTCCAGGAGGGAAACGAAATAGGATTATCAACAGGTAGGGTTTTGATTGATCTTGTGATCGGCTGTCTGTCTGTCTGTCTCTGTCTCTCTCTCCCTCCTTTTTTTTGGCCTTGTCTTGTGTGGTGGCTGCGATTCTGGGCAATTCAAGAGGGGGACTTGGAAATTATTCTAGTCTAATGGACGTACGGATCCGCTGCTCTGTTGTGCTTTATCCAGCCGATCGGGATATGCAAAGGGACGATGATTTTAACCCGCTGAGTTCTTTTTACTGAAATTGATCGGATTCACAGACGCGCGTAAAAATACTCGACTGACAATCGGGAGGACGCATTTAAACACGTAAGTAGACCCAAAACGCCAATGTGAACGAATTTAGACATTACCAAAAGGCTGTGTGTAATTTTCCAAACAATTTTTTTTTTTAAAAACTGAACGTCCCATATTATTATTACCATGCAGGCTTGTTATTGTCACTTCCGAACATCCTTTTTCAATCCATCCCCACTGATCATCACACCCGCGCATTAACAAGCGAAATGATGTCGAAAATGCGGCTTTAGTGTCAGTATTACACAGTATATTCTCTCAACTCTTCTCTAATTACTCATATAAAAGATGATCTGGGAAAAACGGAGACTGGCTCAATAAACGCCCTAATGAGAACACTGCTTATTAACGTTAAGAGCCGTAATCCAGTTAACCTTTAATCAGACAAAAACACGGATGCTTTATTATGTATGCGCCCGCCGTCGATTCTCCACAATGCATAAAGGCGAGTAGGGCGAGTTTATTCGAGGCACCCACCGCTTTAGAGAGCCGTCCTCTGTTCTGCAGGGTGTAGGGTGTGATCAAGAGAGAGCTTATTTTGGACCGCATTTCCCTCTTAATGTTTCACAGTGCGGTGAAGATGTTCAAAATAATTCCAAACCGAACCTTTTTTTTTTTTTTTTGTCTTTTTCTTTCCGAAAGACACTGGTTTAAAAGAAAAAAATTAATAAATCGCGTCGGTTCTTTCTTAATGAAAGCTCTTACTGTCTTTTTCTTTGCCATCAGTGCTTTTGTTCAGGAAATTCCCTAATTACTGTTAACAGATGAATGCTTTAGTCTAATCAACCTCCATCACTGTCTGTCTGTCTGCATGTATCTAGACAAAGTATTCAAGCAGAGGCAGAGCTCTGCACTGTGCCACTCTAAATGTTAAAATGTAGAACAAATAAATAAGTAAATAAATAAATAAATGGCAGGCAGAGGAAACGTTATTGCTTATCACATTCTAGATTGTGCAAGTGCAATTGAAAACAATGCAGCTGTTGTATGGGACTGAATGCTGATGGGTGGATAATATTTTTCAGGGATTTTTTTTTTTTTAGGTGTGATGAGACAAAGGAACAAAGGATGCCTTAGAGGAGAGGTTGCCTATATGCCTGGAAACCTCTTCAAAGCACACCGCCAAATGGATCTAACACCTCCCCCTGCCACCTCTAGATCATGATACTTGGCTGAAGCTATTCCGCTATCTTTATGATCCCTCCTCCATCTATGGCGAACTATAGCCATGCAGGGGACCACACCATCTTGCAGAATGTCTCTCCTCTCGCCACGTTCCTCAAACTGACCTCTCTGGGTTTCATCATTGGAGTCGGTGTGGTTGGAAACCTCCTGATCTCCATCCTGCTGGTCAAAGACAAGAGCCTACACCGAGCGCCCTACTATTTCCTGCTGGACCTGTGCGCCTCTGATATCCTGCGCTCTGCCATCTGCTTCCCCTTTGTCTTCACCTCAGTCAAGAATGGATCTGCATGGACCTATGGCACGCTAACCTGCAAAGTGATCGCCTTCCTGGGTGTGCTCTCCTGTTTCCACACAGCGTTTATGCTATTCTGTGTCAGTGTCACACGTTACCTGGCCATCGCACACCACCGTTTCTACACCAAGAGGCTGACCTTCTGGACCTGTCTAGCTGTCATCTGCATGGTGTGGACGTTGTCAGTGGCAATGGCTTTCCCACCGGTGCTGGACGTAGGGACGTACTCTTTTATCCGGGAGGAGGACCAGTGCACGTTCCAGCACCGTTCCTTCAGGGCGAATGATTCGCTGGGCTTCATGCTCCTGTTGGCTCTCATCCTCCTGGCCACACAGCTGGTTTACCTCAAGCTCATCTTTTTCGTCCATGATCGTCGAAAGATGAAGCCTGTCCAGTTCGTGCCTGCTGTCAGCCAGAACTGGACCTTCCACGGGCCAGGCGCCAGCGGGCAGGCGGCGGCCAACTGGCTGGCTGGATTCGGCCGAGGCCCCACCCCGCCTACCTTGCTTGGCATCCGGCAGAACAGCAACGCAGCTGGCCGCAGGCGTCTACTGGTATTGGATGAATTCAAAACAGAGAAGAGGATTAGTAGGATGTTCTACATCATGACGTTTTTCTTCCTGGCACTGTGGGGGCCCTATCTGGTCGCCTGCTACTGGCGGGTGTTTGCAAGGGGCCCTGTGGTCCCTGGGGGCTACCTGACGGCAGCTGTGTGGATGAGCTTTGCCCAGGCTGGGGTCAATCCTTTCATCTGCATCTTCTCCAACAGGGAGCTCCGGCGCTGCTTCAGCACCACACTCCTCTACTGCAGAAAATCCAGGTTACCAAGGGAACCCTACTGCGTTATATGAAGGTTTTGCTGTGGTTTTTTTCTCATCTATGTCTCTGTTTCCCTGATTGATCTTGATCTGGGCTCGTTCCCATTGTACAGTGCACTCTCTCTTCTATCTCTCTTCTCTTCATCCTCCAGTTTTTCTCCCATTCCTCCTTCTCCTAACCCTTCTTTTCAGAGGTAGAAGGTGGACTGCCAATCACGAGGCTCTGCCGGGGGTGATTGAATAGGAAAAGTATCAAATATGGAGGCTGAAGGGAATGGGAATACGCAGGAGGTCTGGATCCCCTCCTGTGTTTATGTTCTAGTAAACAGACATTGTGGAAGGCCATGCCAATGCAGAGATGCAAAAAGTAAAAAAAGAAAAAAAGAAAAAAGAATTGACAAAACAATAAAAACAAAACCTCTTGCTTTGGATATTTTCAAGATGCGTTATTCTGTGAGGTGTGAAATACATAAATATGAAAAGAAAAAGAGAAAAGAACAAAAAACAAAGAAATGATACCTCTCAAGGAATCACTGGAAATGTTTTACATTTTAAGAGTTGCACTAAAAAGAAGATGTAAAGATGCTTTTTTTGGTCAACAGTTGCCAGTTGCATTGCAAGGACAACTTTTTTTTCTTCTTTTTTTCCAAACTAAACAATGAATGCTTTAATTTGCAACAGACTACACAATCGCTGTAAGTAAAGCAAAACTTGGTGACTGTTGGAATACACCATCACAAGAGGATAAAATGGTTTTAATGTAAGTGATATCTTTTTCATTTACCGGGGCGGGGTGGTGGGGTGGGGCTTAACGATGGGGATTTACAATGTGTGGTTTTGAAGTTGCAACTTAAAACTAGAAATTATTTCTTGTAGTTTTACGATCCATATGTCCCTAGTGTCTGGCATTGTTATTTTCTTATCACCTTTTACAAAAAAAAAGAGGAAAAAAAAGATGAAATGATGTTTGGATTTTAAAAAGAAGTTGCTTTTAAGAACAACCTTGTGCTTAAAAAAGACATTGAAGAAGTAGTTAAATGTTTCATCATATCCATGTACCTAAACACTATCATATTGTTACAGTATTGCTGATGCCACTCCAGGTGTTCTTGCCTTAATGGTTATGATATTGTCATGTTTCTTGGTTGTTGGGTTATTTCTTTTATTTTATTTTTTTCATTCACTCCTAAAAAGTCGTTTTTTAGATGCAAGGGGAGTTTTTTTCTTTATCACATCAATGTGAAGTGCATGTCCATTTTTTAAAAGCTGGTCCACTCCCATGAGCATCACAGGCCATACACTGAGCAGCCCATTTTTATTCTGCAATGGTTTGCTACACCCCACCGAGTGCTCAGAGCACAGGGAGTGTGTGTGCGTGCGTGCATGTGTGAGTGAGTGAGTGTGTGTGCGCGTGTGTCAGTGGGTGCATGTGTGTGCGTTTCAGAGCGTGTGTGCTGTGTGGATCAGACAACAGTCACTTCAAGACCAGAGCCTTAGTATGAAATCTTGCACAATTTGTAAAAAATGTAAAAGGAAAAAAAAAAAAAAGACATTTAAGGCACACCGTCTTGTTTCTACTTTCCCTACATTTGCTCTCTACTGATTGTTTTCAATGACTTACTTTTTTCTCTTGTGGCCATTTTAATATTTATTATGTATTCTTTTTTGTATATTATAGATAGATTGTGTGTAAGTATGTGAGTCTTTCATTTTGAAGTCCCGAATGTGAGTACAGTTTCAGTTAGGATTGCATTTGCTGAAAGTTAACTGTGTAATCTGTTGCTTTTTGAAAATAAAAAGTTTCCATTTTACAACATTTGTTTTTATCCCTCTCATTGGGTGGAGATCATACTATCTATGGCCATACTGTTAGCTGGAAAATATCTGCAACCCCCCCCAGAATTGGTGCAGTCATTCGCAGGCTTCATTACAAAACATCCACAGTGGGGTAAAATCATTACTTTGTGATTGCTAAATATTTTTTATAAAGCCACTACTATAATGTTAAAAGGTCCATATTTTGTATTGAAATGACTAATGTTGGATGGTATTTCTACAAATATTTAACAAGTGTCATTTATGTTCATGCTAACAGGTTCTTTATATGACAAAGTGATCCAGTTTTCAAATGTGTCTTTTCTGGAACACGATCTTTTCTGTCATTTGAGTCCTTGGGACAGTTTGTCAAAACAGAATGTATGCTAAAGCTTGTCACTAAATGTGAAGTGTGTTTGACATTTAATGGGAATAATCTCCATGAATATATCCCTGGGCGCACTCACCCTGGCAGTTTTCTTATTCTGTGTTAAAGGGGAATACCACTGAATTTCAGATGTAATATATGCGGCTCCCATATGGAATAATGGCAAACCAGTCTCGATTAATGAATACCCTGTAGCCACAAATGACATAGTGGTTTGTCCCATTCCCTCACTTCTTAAGGTCATATTGATGTGTGGCTGCACTGAGAATGAATTGGGAAAAAATGGAAGCGTGAACAAATGAATAAGTATTATCAAATGCATGCCCATTTCGGAAGAAATTTGCCTCGCCAAATTCTTGCATAAAACAATATAACTCAGTTATAACAAATGTTTTTGAAATTCTCCTTACCTTTCATGCAAAGATTCGTTATATCATTCAAGGATAAGGAATGAACTTTTTTGTTAAAATAGTGGAATCTAAAAAATTAAAGCCATTAGAGCTCCTTGTTGAACAGTCTAATAATTGAGTCTAATAAACGCCACAAGACCACGGCACGTTTATTCTTAAATTGAGTGGTATTTCTTTGCAAAAGACTGATTACAGTATGTTGACAATGTTTGAAAGCTAATATGTGCATCTGCAAGAATAACGTGTGAACTGAATAGTACGTTTATATCTGCCACATTTTTGTGTGATTCAGACATCATTGTGGCGTTTTGCTTTCAAACCAAAAATGTTTTCCATTGTCATATTTTTTTCCACCCCCCTAAAAATCATTTAATTAAGTAATGACCTTAGCCTAGGTGCCTGAAAACACAAAATATGATGCTGAAATGGTTTGTAAACACTCCAGGTAATTGCATGCTGGGTTGCAGGTTCCGCTGATGAGAAATATCTATTAGGGATCCATTTTCATTATGAGGTTGGCAATTACTGTTTTATTTTGGACATTGATCATTCCAATTTGGACCCAGAGGGGCCTTAGTCAGATGTTGTAGAAGCATTTATTGAAATTTAAGGAAATGGTTAGACATCAGGAATGATCTTTTTCTTGCTTTCTGTGCAATGCTTCTTGCGATTGAGAGGTAGATGTATGAGGCAGTTGTTCAGATGAAACAAAAAAAAACGAGACTGTGTGGGATTTAATGTTTAAACTGGGGCTGAAACTGTGCTACTTGAGGTGGGAACGGGAATTATTATCTCACTTATGTATATTTTAGCCTCATTCAGCATATGCAAAACCACAAATGGTGTCACTATTGAGCACTGGCCCATTTCCTCGCATGTTCATTTGAGTGCCCCAGTAATTCTGTTCCTCTCCACGTCTGAGGAGAGATGACAGGCAGAGGTGGTCGGCTCGAAAGCGGTTCATTCTGGCAGACAAGCCCTCATGTTGAACCTTTTTCCCTCTGAGTCACCGTCTCTCCTGAGAAACACTGAGAAACATATTGTTCATAATCAAAGCAATTAGGATGCTCTAGTCTACTGTACCATCTGACTGAGATTGGTTCTTTGCACTTGTGTTTAGATCACGGAAGAAAGGGGGGGGAAAAAACGTTTTTTGTGAGGCAATTATAATGCTTTGCTGGAGATATCTTTCATTTAACAATCAGAAGACTTTTCTGTTGGATTCTGGCTGCGGATGAATAACACAACCATCCCTAATTCCGTGTCACTCTCCTTGTATCTCTGTGGATTTGCGCACACAATTTCTGTTTTTTAATGGACTGCCAATGGGCTCTGAAAAAAAGCATCTCACCCTAGCCCTCATTTGCTGTCTATAATTTGAGTAAATACCATCTGTTGACTGAGAAACATTGGCTTTTTCTAAAAGGGGGGGGGTGGCTCATCTAATGTGAGCCTTTCTGCACTCTTAAACATTTTCTGTTTGTATAATGCACACCAAACCTTAATTAAAGTGCACTAAGGGTCTGTGCCGAGAAGCACTCAAATATGAAAAGCTGCCTTGAATGGAATGGAGTGGACGACTCAATCTTCTGACAAGCTACTCAGGAAAAAGGAAGAATTGCTTTCTGTCTTGGCATCACCCTCCTCTGCATATTTGTTTGATTGTGTGACCGCTTGAGAACGGAGCTGGAAATATAATAGTTCAATATGCTTTGCATAATTTCTCCAGGGCATTCATTTTGTTTTGTGAAATGACATTTACTTACAATGTATTTCGTGGACTTTTCCTTGGGACGTTTGGTTAAATTACTTATTTTTCTGCTCTTTGCGTGTAAATGTGTGTGTTTGTGCAGAAGTGCGGTTTAGTGACCACATGACAGTGTGCGTGGAGTTTGTGGCTGCAGGTTTTTATGCATTCGTGTTTGTCCTCACTCACAGGTCAATCCACTATCAGTGTGTCAGAACAGGCTGTGAAGTCAGACAGTTGCTCTTTTTGGTCACAGACTACATGGTTAATAGTCATCAAAGTGCAGAGGTGCAGTAGTTTTCTCTCTAATGGCTTTGCAGCTTTATGTCTAATGTGCTACAGCAAATTGGTAATTGTCAAATGAATGATAATGAGAGGACCTCAACTGTGTGTCTACATCTGTAGGTGTTACCTAAAATTTCATAATTCTTGTCTGTTATTTTGCTGCTGTTAAAGTTTAATCCTGCCCTGCTCTCTGCCCATTCATAATCCATTGTTTCTTTTATGATGAAAAATGCCTGTCATTTTCCAAAGCTATTAGATATAATAACAAGAGGCCATGTCTGTCACTTAAACATCTGACAGTGTAAGCAAATCCTTTTACAAACAAGCTGGTTCTTTCAAAGGTTTTTAATTTGAACAAATGCATGTGCAGAACATTTAGCTGTTTTCCCGCTCATGTAAACAACATTTGAATCCAAACCTGTGTAACCCCCCCCACTAGCATTATATTGTCTGATAATATGTGCCCAAGATAATTAAGAGTAAGATGTCGTTAGGTAAAGATGCAGGACGAGAGAAGGTCCAATAAAACACAACATAATGATGATTTCTTTTCCCTGGGGGGGCAGCCCTGGGAAAAAAATTTTTTGCTGCATTTATTGTCTGACAAGCTATTATAGGCAGTGCAGGACTCTGAATACCAATGATCAACGGGATGCCTGATAAAAATTTGCAAGTGGATAAAGATCCCTCCACATAATATCCACGTCTTCATTTCCAACAACCACCCACTCACCCTCCCAACTCTGCAGCCCATCATGCAAATGCCTTATATAAAGAATATCCCTGCTTTAAATATTAACTGATTAAATTGCGGATGGAGCTTCAAAGGTTCCGTCCTGCATATTTAAACAGTATTTTTTTCTCTCTCTCCTGTAATGTGAGATTCAGTGGTTGGATCATTTCTCTGAAAATTTGCTAGGAGCAACTTTTTGGAAGAGGATATAGTGTTTCTATCTTTGGTGTCATATCTGTATGCTCTAGAAGGTATCTTCGTGCTATACTAAGGTTTCCTCACATGTTCTGCACAATAAATGTTACAGGTTGCAGTTCACATGCTTGTTTGGATTATGCTACTTTTGTAGGGTTCTAGATGATGATCTCTAAGAATTGCAGTATGAAAGTTGTCGTTTTTAGGCATGACTTGTGTCAAGAATCCACCTTTTTGAGATTGCACTGTTTGGTTTAAACGGGTAGTTTTTACGCTTATTTGCTTTCTTGCCAAGAATTAGATGAGGAGATTGATACCACTCTCATGCACCAAATATGAAGCTACCGCCAGTAGCTGGCTGACTAAACTTAGCACAAAGATTGGAAATAGGGGGAGACAGCTAGCCTAGCTCTATCCACAGGTAACACAATCCACCTACAAGCACCTTTTTTTATATCTCATTTGTTATGTCTGTACAAAAACTACAAACTTTGTTTGATAGTGGGCTATGGGTGGACTATTTATTGGCCAGTACCAAAAACTTCCTTGAGTTTGAGAGGTACTGGTAGGCACATTTTTGTTACCTTTAGGCCAAGCTAGGCCTTCCAGTCTTTATGCTAAGCTAAGCTAACTGGCTGCTGAGTCCAGCTATATATTTACCGTACATACATGACAGTGGAATCAATCATCTCATCTAACTCTCTGCAAGAAAGGGAATTAGCGTATTTCCCAAAATGTTGAACCGTTCCTTAAAGCTAAACAAAAAAACTTGATAGGGATCCCTGCTTCTTATACGACTGCTGCACTGTCACTGCTCTGCTGTCCCACCCTAAAAAGGAGCTGTTGTGGAAATGCTGCAGCGCTAATGCAGCACACATGCAGGGTTACAAGTTGCTTACATGTTTGTGATTATTCCTGTAAATGTGGTTATCATGGCTGCACAGAAACGATTGAGGTGTTCATAGGAATGTAAATGTTGTAGCATAATGTTATTCTGCAGTGAATGGATGGTTTAGTAGCGGAAACTGCTGCTGCAGAGTGTTTAGAGTCCAGGTCAGAATGTAAGCTTGTATAGGTTCTGTTTCTTTACTGCTAAATCCTCTTGGTTGCGGTGGGAGTCAAGAGTAAACATGTCCCCTTTGCTGCTAAGACTCAGGATGAGTGACGGAGCCCCGGATAGATCATGATTGGTGGGTTAGTACTTAAGCACATGCACACCAAAGTTGGAGAGTACTGGTTGG